ATATATATATATATATATATATATATATATATATATATATGGTAGATAGCTTTGCTATCGTCCGTTTAAGTACCACACTAGCCTCGTGGGGCCTTAAGTGGTTCGCCACTCCAGTTGCTGTAGCTAAGGTTACTAGTTTTCATCACTAGATAGGACAAATGCGTGTAAAAAATAGTATCCGAACCATGTTGGGCCTGCTTATCGCATACTGCTTTTTATGCTTTTGCTTGAACGTTTACGGACAACTGACTCTAGGAATGCTCCGGTACTGTATATTCATAATAAGCCAACCAAGTAACATCCAGTCAAAGATGTCGGGATGGATTTTTGTCAAGCATTGGATACTTTCTAGATATGCTTGGGAACAGTGTCCTAACATCCGTTGGTGTTATTTTTCTCTTTTGCTGAGGTATACATGACTCAAGAATGCTGCGGATCTTTGAATACTGTTGTTTAAAAAGAGTAGTTGCGTCATGCGGAATGTGCACAGTCCGGCTAGTTAACCTGCTTTNTATCTTTGTATTTGAACTGCTGTGAGCTTTTTACTTTTTCTTGGAACAACCGGAATACAGAAACCAGAACCATTACGTGACGATGAGAAGTTGGCGATTGTTTCAACTGCAATGCGGAAAGTACTTTAGTTATTTTTATTTGCTCATCAGTACCTCATTTTTGTTTGTTCAGCGCTCTTCCCTCATTCATATTTATCGATGAAGCCGTGTCATTCGTGTATATGGTAGACGTACAATTTGTTGAACTTTTCACCCCTAGACTGTATTTGAAGCAATCTCGCTTGTATTTACGCATCCTAAAAGTCGTAATTTCTTTATCTCCTCTCCGTATTTTGCAGGACAATCCATGGTTTGATTTATAACGCTCTCAAATTGTTCATGGAAATGAATCAGAAGTTGTTTGACAGTTGCACACAAAAGTACAAAGAAGATCGACAAAAGTAAGCCCGTGCAAATCTTTCGTAATTTTACTGCAAGCTCTTATATTTTCGAGCACCAATCCGCGAAGAAATCGGAATCGATGTAAACAGATAAGCATAAACTTAACTGTATGATTTCGATGTAGCCACGGTCGGTCTAACTTTTGCACTTCACTCCATTCTAGGTGCGGGCGAATGAGATCAAGTTGTATTAGTCAATAAGCCTCAGTTACGCTAGTAACTGATGTGTTGTTTGTAGTTCTTCGAATACCCTTTTCCCCCCGTTCTCTCAGCTGAATCATCTTCGAAGTGGACGTAATCTTTTTACCGGTCAGCTTTCGGTTTTATGCTCTCAGTTGTGTTTCACTGGTCTTTCCGTAGATTTCCCCGGTGTCCGTTTCATCATGTGGTAAAAGGTATGGAAAAGTTGATCGTGGGCAGCATTTGTTGGCCGCAACCCACTTCCTGAAAATTGAGTGTATCATTCTGTATCCAATAATAATAAAAAGCAAGTAATGAGATTATCTACTTTGTTTAAGTTCGCAACTTGTCTTCCGGTAGATAGCACTAGTTCAACTTACAATTTAAAGCAGTAAGGGAAGTAGTTAATCACACCCATCTATGTATTTCCTTACATTGTCTGCTTGATCTAGTCACTCTAAAACCTGCATTTTGTCATCATATGGCTAATTTCGATAAGACGAAGTTGTTGAATTTACTCGTCAAACATCAACCTTCCTTAAACGATTTCAGGATGAACTCCCATCTGCAGATTGATGTTTATATATATATATATATATATATATATATATATATATATATATATATATA